GATAGATAGATAGATAGATAGATAGATAGATAGATAGATAGATAGATAGATAGATAGATAGATAGATAGATAGATAGATAGATAGATAGATAGATCTTAAAATAATTGATCATAATACAAGTTTGACTTAGTGATCTGACTGTGATTTAAGTCCCAAAGACATGATTTTATAGAGAAGCAGTTCTTTGCTCAAACAAAATCAACAAGCCTTTATAAACATGTCTTTGCAAGCTCTTCACATCGAGAAAACCGTATTTTTGCCAATTCTTCTTTTGAATAAAACCTCAGGCTTAATGGAAGACATCTGTACATATCAAATTTAGAGTCTCTCTTGTGATTTATGCTTGGATTAAGCATTAGGATTAAGTTTGCAATTTGAATAGACCACACAACAGATGAATTTCTTTGAACTTTCTAAATGGTTCTGTTGTAGCGCTGGCTGTATGTCTAGGAAAGCTCTGCCCAAGTCATAAAAGGATTTCTTTCCGCATCACCCTGTATTTACCTCCATCCATCACTCAATCAACTGTGCACCTCTAAAAAAAAGCATCCCCACAGCATGACGCTGCCATCATCAGATTTAAGAGTGAGATTAATTATTCCAAATGACTTCTGGTGGTTTTGCATGTGGTGCATTTATAGCAAATTTCATTTTTATCTTCTTTGATCAAAGCATCTTCATCAACATTGCTCTTGGCAAACTTCAAAATGGCTTCCTATGGTTGTGTCTCAACAATAACTTCCCTGTTTTCACTTTTTGATTATAAAAAAAGCTGTTTATTATACGAGGTGCATGATTTATAGCTCCTCCTAAGTGAACATTGGCCTCTTAAGAGCTTTTTAGATTTCACAACACCAAAATATAACCCCACTGAAAGCATCAAGCTACATTTTTGTTCCATTTGGTTCATTTTGGAAGTTATTATTTAGGTTAACAGCTTAGTGGTCACCATCTGCTTGAGTCCTTTGCTTTTGAGAAATTCAGTATAACAGGAAATGCTCAAATCACAGGAAAAAGGAAGGAAGGAAGGGAGGAATTAAAGAAAGCAGACCAACGAGTAGGAAATATAAATTATGTTAGCTCTAACACCCATGAGGCCACTCAGCAGCAGATGTGCTGCTGGCAGCTGTTGAATCACCCTGCTCACTGGCTTGTTATGTCTCCTTCTTCCCTGCAGACATCAACGAATGTGAGGACATCAGTGACAAGGTCCCGTTGTGTCAGAACGGCCAGTGCATCAACACAGAGGGGTCCTACAAGTGCACCTGCCTGCCAGGCTTTGTGGCTTCCGCCAAGCCACACAAATGCATCCCTGCCATCCCAGAGTCCTCGCTCAGGGAGGCAGAAAAGTGAAACAGAAACAGACTTTTCCTGCTTTCTAAAAACCACCATCCCTGTGCTCTTTCCCCTGAGAGCCTGGCACTAAACCTCCAACAGCAACACTGTTCGTCCAAGCTTTTTTCCTCTCATGCTCCTCGCAGACACAAGCATACCAACGTTTTTTCTTAGACCTCCCCCCATTACACATTCAAAAAAATAACAGGAACTGTGCAGTGAATGTATTACATGGAATTAATTGTTCAACGTATATCAATTTGCCATAAAGGGATTGTCTTTGGGACTATTTTTATATATATATATATTCAGTGACCCCAGGCAAATTGATCTGCTTATATATTTTCCACAATATTTTATCTGTCAATTAACTTTTCTTGAAGTTTTTTTATTTATTTTATTTACAAGAAAGGCCTCTGAAAAATATAAAGCATCCAGTTTCAGAGGTTAGACTTGATTCCTCTCAATTTTCGCAAAGACGCTTTGAGGAGTTGAATAATTTGTCATTTATCATCTATTTGAGTCGACAAACATCAGAATGTTTCTTACCAATGGTTTTCTTAAGGATTCAAGCTAAAGTTTGAAGGATGTCTGGACCTAGCAGCCAAACTTTCACATTAAAAGCTTTGGCATCGCACAAGCTTTGACAGACTCTACGTGTATATGAGGTTCTGTAAGATGTTCAGGAAATGGAGCAGTAAGTGGGCTGTTTGGGGCCATTTGAGAAAGAAATTCTATCCCTAATCCCCTATTTGTTTCTTTAATAGTATTGGTCTGTTTTATGCCTTAATTTGAAAAAAAATAATAATAATAACAAAAAAAAAAATGCAGCCTTCATTTTATTATCTGTATAAGATTTTGAAAAAAAGCAAAATAATACCTGCAGATATCAGGTTTAAACAAGAAAAGTAATTTATACACTAGTATCAACCAGAGAAATTAATCCTTCTTCTGACCACGCCAATGTTTCTATTAAGAACCCTCCTCACTTAATGGCACTAATTGTAAAGATATGTGAAATTAAATTTAGATTTATTTTGATTTAGCATAGGGTCAAAATATTTTCTTTCATAGAAAAATTTCTTTAATACAGAAAGAAAAACTACATTTTTTTTTCAAAATAGTAATGACTAATTTATAAAAAGAAAAATAATGTAAGTCTTCTTTTGCATTTATGCTTTATGTCTTGGTATTGATAAGACTGTGCAGGAAAGTTGCATAAAACCTTCCCTCTCTGGGGTCTCGTTGGGTTTTATATGATGTGACCTGTAAAACCTTATTATATTCAGCATTATTCAACATGGGGAGAAGAGCACATAGTTCAAGTTAGACACGTGTTTTAATATTCATAAGACAATAAAAGGTTAGTGTACAAGGTCATGTTTACAGGCAGATAAATAGTCCAGAAGTTCATAAATAAGGGGAACTTCTGGAGACCAAGCTACAGTAGACCATGACTAATATTGATCTTCCCACCAAAATTACTTAGAAGGATGCTAAGAAAGAGAAAAAGATCCCCAAAAGAGTTGAATCTTGATTTAAACAAATCTTTATAAAAACTATTGGGCTCTTCCTTTATACCAACCAGTTTTGAAACTCATTCTGTCCTACCAGTTTGGTTCAATATGACTAAAGATTTCCAAAAGAGCTGAGATAGCGAAGGCAATTACCCTCGTCCTGCTGATATTCCTCCTCTAGATGCAGAATAAGTTTATTGCATCCTGGTATTGATTGGGGTGAGCCAATTTCTAGCCTTAATGTATAAATTACAGACCGTCTGCACAACCAGCTGGCCAGTGGGTCACTGCCTCACATGTAATTTATTGCAATTAAAACACTTTAGATCAATAGTGTGAAGTTTATTTAGGCTGAACAGATCGCCCAAACTTCAGCCAGAGGTAGTTTCTCTAGCAGCTGTTACCACAGAACGTAGAAAAGAACCAATAGCGCGTCTCACAGTACCAACGTAATTTACTATTAAGCTCATGTGTGCTGCAGTTCAAATAGGCTCTTCCTTAAAGCTGTAGTGCTTTGTGACAGAGGTTTATGGAAGGGCTTTTCAGCAACAAACCTTTAAGTTGAGTGTAATGTGAAACGAAAGGATTAAGCAATTCCTTTCCATTGTCAAGCACAGTGGAAGAGGTCTGGTGATGCGTGGCTGTTACCCTTCAAAAAGCCCTTGGGAATCGTATTGGTCGTCTTTGCATCATAAAGTCTTTGAAAAAAAAACGATTTGAAATAAAGATTGTGTGTAATTTTTTTCATTTTGCATTGGAAATTTTCCCAAAGATATTGCTTACCGCAATTTCCTACAGGTTTCCCACAGAAATTGCTTATCAGAAAAACATATAAAAAAAAAGCAATCTCCATTACCATTTTATTTACCTGACTAGAATTATATTGGTAACTTCTGGGGACATATATAAGAGAGCAGGGGCTCCTAAATTTCTTCTTCCAACCTTTAGAACAGTGATGGGAAACTTTTAGCTGAGTATTAAAAGATATCACACAAAAAAACACAACATTATATTGTGTCGAACTGTCGGTTATATATTTTAGGGTGAATAGCAGTTTGCTATGGTTAATTTTGATAATGTAAATGACAAGGCCACATGACGTCTATATTTCCCCCCTAACATACACTTGTTTTAAAAAAAAAATTCAACTCGTTTAACCTTTATAGTGTTTGTGGAAATGCACAAAAATCAGTTTTCAATTATAATTTTTTACCTTACATTTTCCCCACTGAATAAATGTACTTAAATCAATGGCTGTATTTTCACATTTTAATTGCGTATCATGCTGCTTTAATAAAATATCTTTACCTGGAGTTCTTTAAAAAAGTGCTGTATGGAAACCTAAAGGCCTTAATGAAGAAGTTTGATATGTTCTGTACAGATTAAGTATCATGTATGATCTTTGTTACATATTCTCTTAATGCTATTTAGTACCATTGATATTAGATTTGACACTACTCATCAAATCTTAAAAATACAAAAAAAATCCACCATTTTGTTTAGCTTTTCTAGATTCATCTGTCTGTAAAAATGTTTTTAAAGCATATCTTTTTCTGTATGAGAAGAGTGACACTGTACCATAGGAACTCTGTGTATACCCTGCCCTGTGGAGCAGACTATGAGTTTTATATATATACTTTTGTTTTTGCAAGTGGCACCACTGTTTAAAAAAAAAAATCTGTTTTTATAGCAAGCACCGGCTCAATCACAACTTTGCAGCATCGTTTTAATAGCAAATGTGATTTTTTACAGTTTCTATTCAATCGATATCTAATTTATGGATTCTAAACAACATTGTCCTACATACAGTAAAAGGCTTATCAGTAATCATTAGTAGGAATTATCAGCAACAAAGAAACAAGGGCCCGATTACACCTTGACAAGACGAAAAAAGCTGTTAACTTATACAAAATATCATTTATTTTGGATTTCTAAAATGAGGTTTTGCAGTGTTTTATATGAAGCCAACTGTTCTTTGCTCTGCTGTTTAATATTTGCTTGGTTTAGACTGAAAGTCTATCAATGCGGTAAACGCTGAGCTATTTAAAGCCTTTTAAACAATAGTCATTTCATACAAAAGCATTGTTGTAAAGCTGTTGTCAATATCATGACTGTTTATTTTGTTTACCATTTGACTGTAATCTGTATCAGTCATTGAAATAAATAAAAAACTTCTGATTTCCTCTGAAAAATTGTGTGTTTATGTCTATAGCACATTTTAATAAAACAATTCAAAGTGCTTTACACTATGGACAAACAATAAAAAATGTACTTTGTGGTGGTATAATTAGGGAAATAAAAGAGAAGTTAGACATCAGACTGACATTATTAATGTATCTTTTACTGGTTGAAATCAATGTTTAAGGGCAACTCTAACCAATGAGTTTCAAACTCATGGTTTTGTAGTTTTCTGGCAGTTTGTTTCACATAACTGAAGCATAAAAACGAACTTCTGCTTTAACATGTTTGGTTCTAAAGACCAGAGAGCTTTGGAAGGTGGATACGACAACAATTTCTTAAATGCATTTTGCTGCTACACTACTTGTTCCTTTTTGATAGTTAACAGTTTTTTCTATTCTTTGAGATAAAGGAGGCAGTGAAGACACTCTTGTAGTAATCAATGCGGCTAAAAATTAATGTATGGATTACGTGTTTTTTAGGCTCCAGTAGTATTTTGATCCTGGAAATGTCCTTCAGGTAAAAGTTGGTAGACTTTATATTTATTCTCCACTGAAAGTTTGGTTCTGAGTCCATTACTACATGTCCATTTTCCCACCATACCTGAGCAGAATTCCCATCGATGCTGAAGAAAAGCACCTCTATCAGGTTCAGGATGAAGTGCAGTTAGGTTTTGTTAGGATAATTATCACTGAAGATGTGTGAGTTTATTACACCCTTGTATGGGCTGCCTGTTGCATGTCAGAACTGACGTTTTAATCTAATTAGGAAAGTTCCTCTGTCTGGATATGCAGTTATAATCTTCAAAGATTTGGAAATGGAATGAAAGCGGTGTCCTATTTTGATAAGGGTGGAGCCATGGATGTCTAATCATCTGCTAATGTGTATGATGTGAAATATGATGATATGGCAGACTAGAAATGTATAAAATGCCTTTTCATCTGTTTAATCTGGGCCACTTCCTTAAAGGTGAGCCCAGAGGTGATCAGCTGCCATCCTGTAACCCTAAGCAGTTTCTATCAAAATCTGTTGTCATGTCTCCTGGTTATTTAATACATATAAGTTATGAAGCGTTATTTAAAGAGTTTGTCCTGAGTGATCTCTTTTCAGGGAAAGAACCGGAAAGATAGATCATCAGGGTTCATACACAGAGCCTATCTTTAACAGTTTTCCACCACACATAATTTTGGAAGTTTGAAAAAAAAAGAAAAAGATTATTTAAATTGTACATTACTTTTTTGGTCCATCACATAACAACATAATAAAAACAACCTAGAGACAGACAGGCAGACACTGTGACAATGGTGATGATAAAATAAAGTATTGTTCAATTCCGCCCTCTAGTGGCGTATTTATAAAAGTGAGCTACCAGAAACCATTCACCTTGTGTTTAGTCTCAGTCATTTCACGATTCCTCTTTTTCCTGTTTAAAATATTTTTTCCTATCAGAAAAAAAATGTAGGTTCGTACGGGGAACTAAAAAGAACAAACATTGTAAGATTTTCGGTAATAGAAGGGGCAGAGGCTCTCATCGCCACTAAATGATCCCTCCGGCTTCCCGTAGAGGGACGGGAATAGCCCGATTGGGATTTTGGGAATTTTAGTTTTGTCCCACAAAGCAGCGCCCTCAAGTAATTTGCATAGCTATTTAAAAAAAAATACATTTCCCAGAAGGCAACGTGCCCAACGTTTTACAGTAGAGCTTCTATGTAACATTTTGCTGCTTTTCAAACTAATAAGGGTATATTTAGGTTATTAGCATTAGCTTGCTTGGATATAGTAGAGTGTTATTTTACTGACAGGCTACTTTGGTAAAGTTTTGATTGATATTTTATTTTTTTTACTCGAGAATAACAAAACTCATACAATGTCTGCTGATTTGTTAAGAGAGAGAAGAACCATTATATGCATCAGTATTTATAAGAATGAGAGCTGAATCCTGCTGTTGAATGTGTATATAGTTGCTATATGCTGTTAGCTTCTGTTAGCAGAGAATCATGACAGCCGCGTGAAGCTATAGCTACACCTTTGGTGGTCTGCTGGTATAAAACCGTGTTTTTTACTGATGGCAAAAGAAGAATGCGTTTCTCTTTGGCACAACGCGAGGGAAACCTCTTCGGTCCGAAACCGCAAAGTGTCTCCCTCAGCAGAGCAGACCCATCAATCTGTAACCGCCCCAGTGTCCAAGAACAAGCAAGGAGATCAAACCCCCTCCTCAAATGGCTCACCTGCTGATTTATCAGCCAGAACAAGGGCTGATTCTCCAAACATACTACTGCTCATCCTGGTAACAGGACTGTCTTTTGCTACTCGTCTTTATAAGATAACAGATCCGCCTCATGTGTGGTGAGTAATGTTTCTAAATTCCTGTGTTTATATGCCATTCCAGCATATTTTATTAATGTTTCATTATGTTTCAGCTGGGACGAAACTCACTTTGGAAAGATGGGGAGCTACTACATCAACAGAACCTTTTTTTTCGATGTGCATCCTCCTCTTGGAAAGGTGAGCTCCCTGCACATCACTTTAATAGACTTTAGAGATCAATCATCATATCAGTTGCTTCATTCTTGGCCCTTAATTCAGTGTTTCTAAGGGTTAGGGTGTCCCAATGGTTGTTATGGAAGTTAAAAGGTTGCTCAGTGTTGCAGTAGGTAGGCAAGAACCTTCTTGCCTTGCACCAAGAAGGTTCTGGGTTTGATTCCTGGCCTAGGGTCTTTCTGCATGGAGTTTGCATGTTCTCCCTGAGCATGAGTGGGTTCTCTCCGGGTACACCGGCTTCCTCCCAAAGTCCAAAAACATGACTGTTGGTTAATTGGCTTCTCTAAATTGTCCTTAGGTGTGAGTGTGTGTGTGAATGGTTGTTTGTCCTGTTTGTCTCTGTGTTGCCCTGCGATGGACTGGTGACCTGTCCAGGGTGTACCCTGCCTCTCGCCCATTGACTGCTGGAGATAGGCACCAGCACCCCTCGCATCCCCAATTGGGACAAGTGTGTCAGATAATGGATGGATGCAAGTTAAAAGGGAGATTGTTTTGAGGGGGATTGTTTTTATTGTTTTTCACAATAAATAATCTGCAAGTGGACTGTCAGGGACGGTTCTACATGGGGGCCGACAGGAGCCACGACCCCTGTAGGACCCCCTCTACTGAAAACATATGCTACAAAAACCGAAATATAATTAGGTACATTTTTCTTGAAATTTGTGCAGGTAATTAAGTCAATTTGCGAATCGAACAAGATGGCTTACATTTAAAATAATAAAAAAAAGATCCCCAAACCCCATTAACTTATTTTAAATATCTGATATTTATCTTATTTTATGAGCAATAGTACTTAACCTTTTGGCAGATTATCCTATAGTTGCCTGTTCAACTTGAGGGCAATTAGACTTTTTTTAAGAAATGTTTACTTTATCAGGTTTTGTATTTTATAGCTTCTTTCCCACTGAAATTAGCGCATTAACACTGGTTTTCAAACCTGGGTCGACCCGCTAATAGTCGATATTTGGCTCTCTATCCATGAACAAAAAAGCCTGGTCTGACCCACTGCTGATAAGCTGTGTGGCCTTTGCCCCCTCACTGCTGCGTGTCTGGGGACACCATCGCACTGGGTTAGTGTGATGATGTCACCAGTGCGACAGAACACAATAGAGAGCAATATCTAAGGAAGCCAAGGCGTAGTAAGGGTGCTTTATTGTTTGGTTGTTTCGTCCATCCTTATCTCTCTCAGCAGTGCTGCTCCATGTTTAGCAAATGGCGCAGCGTTGTTTGGTGTTATTTCAGACGCCACTGGTGCGGCGTGTTGATGCCCGCACGTTGCCCTCAATGGTATCGCATAATTTAGCTGCTCAACCAGAGTCTTGCGTTCCCACTGTATGCTGATCGGAGCCGAGCCATTTGAAGTAGATTTTAATTGGTGTCATTGAGCCGTTTCTATGGCCACTAAAAGCCAATTGATCTCGGGTTTAAACAGGTTTCTTTGGCCAGTGGGTAAAGGGTATAACTCTAAATTAAATCATTATGATGGTGATTTGTGATGATAAAAGCGGCCATAACCAATTCGTCCCTTGGACCAATTTTAATAATTTGCCTTTAGAATTTACTCTAACCTTTATTTAGAAATTGTATTCAGCTTCAGTCACAGGAAATAGGATCAGAGTTTTGATCTGTTACATCAGAAGTCTGCAGCCTTGACTCTGTGGCTCAATTAATGCACCAAATGATGCACTCTTCCACATTTTTTTTACCCTGTATTTGTTATTATTTTGTTCTCTGCCCCATGAAAAAAAAACCTTTTAAATTCCAACTACAACTGCCACTGTGTAATCCTGCTTTTAAAAAGCAACATTTTATTGTAATTACAGCGTCAAGCCTTGTGAAGCATGTGTTTACTAGCTTTGCACATCTAGAGAGTGATATCTTTGCCTACTGGATGGAGAGCAACTGCAAGCCAATGCTTTGATGTAAAGTAGTGAGTTGGTGTCCAGTATTAGTTTTTTTAGCCATGCGTTGTTGTTTTTTTGCCAGGTGGCTAAAAATAATTTATTTTCATCTCAATATAATCGGACATTTTTTATCATTACTGTTTTCTCTACATTGCTGGTGGGAAACTGGACTTTGCATGATTTTCCGTCCGTTGAAGGCCCGATCTTTATGGGGAACAATTAATAGAATGAGATATTGCTTTATTATCTTTCATCTACTAAAATTAAATTACACACAGGTGGGAATTTATTTACTAATTTAGAGTAATTGTTGCATGATTTTTTTTTTTTTTTTTTGACAAGTCAGTGGTTCAATTGTCCCCATTCCCCAAGTCTTTTTTTTTTTTTTTTTTTAGAGGTTATCACAATAGAAATGCACAGCAAACTTTAGATGTTAGAGAAGAAATGTTGCAAAAGTAAAATAAAATGCAGAATCTTTTCCTTTATATTTTGCTGGTCTAAAACTCACAAGAACAACAATCATTTAATTGAAGGGGGGGGGGGGATGATGTGTCCACTTCTTGTGCAGGTCTTTAATATCTTTGCCCAATTTGTAGTTTAGTGCAAAGAAGAGAGATTTAACCTTTTTGTGGACCTTCTGCGTCAGATGATGTGTTGCTCTGTTGCAGATGCTGATTGCTCTTGCTGGTTACATGACTGGCTATGATGGCACCTTTCCTTTTGTGAAGCCAGGAGACAAATATGAACACCACAATTACTGGGGGATGAGAGGAGTATGCAGCATTTCAATTAAGCAGTAGTGTGTCACAGATTTTTTTAAAAAGACAAATATATGTCAAATGTTTGTGTGTTTAAACACCTGCCTGTTTTCTTCCAGTTCTGTGCTGTTTTGGGATCCTTTTTGCCGGTCTTTGCCTTCCTTATTGTGCAGGAACTGTCCCGCTCTCAAAATGCTGCCGTCATCGCAGCCACCTTGCTCCTATTTGGTTTGTAATGAAGTTTTATAACACCATGCATTGATTCAAACCAACTACATATACTTTTAGAATGTTTTTGTGTTTCTTGGGGAAAATAAAAATACAAAAAGTGATAAAATAAAAATTTCAGGACATTTTTGTTTTATTTAGCAGAATGAACGACTTGTTTATTTCAATATGCTGAAGATATTCATCTGCTTGACAGATACGGGCTGCATCACCATCTCTCAGTACATCCTGTTAGACCCCATCCTCATGTTCTTCATCATGGTAGCAGTTCTCAGTATGGTCAAGTTCAACCAGCAGAGCTGCAGGTATCCCCTGTGAAATGGGAAGGAGAAAACAAGCTTTATGTGTCATTATCTATGAATTAAAGCTGTTGAGCTTTTTAACTCTGTTCATTCTTATTTCAATTGACATGTTTTCAGGCCTTTTACTGCTTCCTGGTGGCTGTGGCTCATGCTGTGTGGTGCTGCTCTTGCTGGTGCTCTTGGGGTGAAGTTTGTGGGTCTGTTTGTCATCCTCCTGGTGGGTCTAAACACAGTCGGAGACCTCTGGGGAGTTTTAGGCGACCTGAGTCTCTCACTGGTGAACCACAGTTTTTTTTTTTTTATACTGTAGATACGGCAGACTGTGCATTAATGAAATTAACTGGGGACTTTCCTGCTTAATATTCTTGTTTGCTTTACAGATGGATGTTGCAAAGCACTTCTTGGCCCGTGTTGTTGGGCTCATCCTGCTTCCACTGTTGCTCTACGGGACAATATTTGCAGTTCACTTTGTCTTATTGAATAAAAGGTAAGAGTGAGAGTTAAAGTTGATGTGAAAACTGTTATAAAAAGACAACCTCCCACAGCCTTTTTGTTTTGTTTTTTTCTCTTGCCAGCGGACCAGGTGATGGTTTCTTTAGTTCTGCCTTTCAGTCACGTCTCATTGGGAACAATCTGTACAACGCGTCCATGCCAGAGTGTGAGTCCTGAACGCAACTCAGAATTAAACAAAAATCTTATTTATGTGTGAAAGAAAGCAACTTTGATGTTCTGTGAAAACAAAGTAGGGCAACTTGGCGGATTGCCTTCTTCTAAAGGAATTAAAAATAAAACATATTACCTTATTTTCAGTCAGCCTAGTTTTACTCCACCCCACCAATTATCAGACATTACTGCTTTTTCTGGCCTGTTCAGGATTAGGTAGAATCAGAAAGGAGTAAAGCTTAAAAAAAATACTACTGGTACATACAGTACTGGTATAAGCAGCATTGAAAATGTCTGGAAATGAATAAGGGGTCTAGCGAAGCCTGTGGAAAAGGGGTAATACTCAAATAGGATTCCTTCCGTCTTAAAAGTTGTTTAATTTTCCGTGATAATTTTCCAGGTCTGGATAGGTGTGTGAAAAAAAAAATATTCTTTTAATTCAATTCATTTTTGTGTGAAAAAAAAAATATTCTTTTAATTCAATTCATTTTATTTATAGCCTTGATTCAAATCATGTAATCTCCATGGTAGAAATGGTTTGATGAGGAGTCATGAAGCGTTTCGACTCATTCCCAAACTATAGTGATGATGAGTTGATGCTGAATACCGACACCTTTAAAATCCCTACAGGCAGCCTATCTGACAGACCACTAACACTGATTTGAGTACCTATAATATTGGTATGATATGTCATAAAATGTTCAATTTTTTTTGTTTGAAAATTTCTTTTGATATTTATAGATGCAGTCAAATAATTTGAACGTATATCATAATATGAAATTTTAAGTGAACATGTAAATAAGGATGCTTGTGGACTAGGATTTATGAATATTTATTCAAACCAATAATTACAGTAAGAAAAGTTACTTAGAATCAATTTGAGATCATTTTGCAGATGTATCCCATTGACAGATATGCCTATATACAGATCAAAACAGCTCCTGTGACATTCTTTAAACGATACGCGCAACGACACATACTCGACACTCTATGACCTTGAAGCATCTGTGGTGCTGGACCCATCGCTACTCGATGCACTTTACTGCTACAGTCGATTATTCATCCAGACATATTGGATAAACGTTTTCATCTATGAAAACCAGGCTGATTACATCCCTCTTACTGAGCATTCAGCCTCCTTTTAGAGGTTGGAGAACCAGGAGACACACAAAAGGATGCATAGAAGCACAGAAATCTACATTCACTAATGTTAGAAAACTTCCATTGGTTCCTCCGTTTACAAATAAAACAGTCAAGCAAATTAAATCTGAGCAAGTTTTTCAAAATGAATATTAAAAGTATTACAATGCTTAATAATCATGTAGATTTATATATAAATACATTTTTTACATCTTATTTGACACATCACCTATTGATCTGCGTTTTAAACTTCTGTATTTGGGTTTTCAACTTTTTAAGAACAGTTTCTTTAATTTGTCATCAAGTTTCCTCTGGCTGCATTATCCAGAGAGACTGGTTATAATGTGGGTGTGTGCACATTTATGTAAATGTGTGTGTGTATTTGTAATATTTTATCAGTGTGAAGGTTTTTGAAAGAACACACTTTCTTTAACAGAAAGGGACAAAAAGAAAGCCTAGAAAAAAATAATAGTCTTATTGCAGGCATATAATCTGTCATAATCTCCCATAGAAAATGTTCATGCATCCAACTTTTATTCTGAGTACATTTTTTGAGTGGAGAAAAATAGATAAAACATTAGGAACAGTGCTTCAGTTTTCATTTCCTACTTTCAGTTTGCAATTTGCAATTTTCTGTTTTAAAGTAGGTGAGTAAAGCAATTTAATTGTCCTTTCAATTTTATAGAAAAATTATAATTCTTCATGTGCATTTCCTTATTTGATGAACATGTTGTCTTTCTGATGCAGACCTGGCCTATGGCTCCGTCATTACTGTGAAAAATCTGCGCATTGCAGGAGGTTACCTGCACTCCCACTGGCATTTATACCCAGAGGGCGTTGGAGCGAAGCAGCAGCAGGTCAGGCTATAACCGCAGCATTCGGTTTTAAATGATTAAATTGACTTTTTTATTCAGTTTTCTTCGTCCACAGGTGACCGCTTACCTCCACAAGGATTACAACAACATGTGGTTGGTTCGAAAACCAGGAAATGAGAGTAAGAGAGTTGTTTTTATTGACGGTCTGAAATTGTACCGTTTATTAGTTGTGCCAAAATTCTAATTAAGGTTAATTTCTGCTTTTTTGTGATAGTAGAAATAGGTGGCAGGAGAGCCTTTTTAAATAATTAGTTTTAGCTATTTAGATTTTTCTGTCATCTCTGTATTAGCTCCCTCTGAGACGCCTGACTTGGTTCGTCATGGAGACCTTATTCGCCTAGAACACAAAGAGTGAGTACCACACCTGGCTCTGCTGCCTGAAGTTTAATTTCTGTTTGATTTTAATCACACCGTTGCTTTCAGAACAACCCGTAACCTCCACAGTCACCTTCATCAAGCACCGCTGACCAAGAAGCACTTCCAGGTTACAGGCTATGGAGTAGTGAGTCCCTCTCTAACATTTGTCTTGTAGAAATGTTCACACCCACACTTGGTCACATTTATCGGTACACTTCATCGTAATTTATTTATTGTGGATTTATGCAGCAACCCAATGATGTGGATATTATAAAAGAAAATGATGCTTAGGTTATCTAAAGATTTCACAGATGATACTTCTAATGTCCGTTTCCTTTGATATCTCTGAAGAAAACCAAGTGTGAACAACGGAGCAGGGGGGATAAAATAGTTCTCGCTTTATTTTAAAACAGTTTCAAATAAAGTGAGCAAAACAGGGAGCAGGATTTTCTGGAAGATTCCAAGATCCAAGGACTAAAAAAAAACAAATCTGACAGGTCTGATTTATATCCATAAAATTGTTTGCTAGTCTCTCCTGTGTAAGTCAAACTAAATCCATTGATATTTGCTGCTGTAATGCTGCAAAATGGGCTTATGTTGGGAAGTAAAGATAGTGATTTTGGGCCTTAACGTATCTTTTATCTGTATTTCTTTTTTTGTTTTGCCAATATTTATCTGGGAATAGATGTTTTGCTTTCATAAGCAGGCCATTATGACTCTTGCTATGAAGTTCCTCTTTATTGAAAATTATTTAGGAAGTAAAGAGTATACAACGGAGATGGAAAAGGAAGGAAGAAAGAAAGAAAGGGATTAGAACGGGGGGGAGTGCAAGAAAAGAGAGAAAATAAAATAACAGTGTTTGTTTTTCTCTAGAATGGAATGGGGGACGCCAACGATCTGTGGAAGGTGGAGGTTTGCGGAGGTCGGAAGGGTGACTTGGTGAAAGTTCTGCGCAGCAAAGTTCGCTTTCTCCACAAGGCCACAGGATGTGTGCTGTACTCCTCTGGCAAGACTCTTCCGAAGTGGTAAATCTACTTGTCGCTTCAGCTCTGGTTGGTCCCTTTTTTAAACCTGCGCCTAAAGGATTGATATGCTGATGTAGTTGTTTCTTTCAAGGGGCTGGGAGCAGGTGGAGGTGACCTGCAGTCCTTACCTGAAGGAGACTCCCAGCTCCCAGTGGAACATTGAGGATCACATCAATCCCAGATGTACGATGCAATCCTGTCATCCAAGTCGATTTGTCTTGAAAACATGAGATTTTTTACTAATCTCATAATATCATTTGGTTTGTTTTTGCAGTGCCAAACATTAGTATTTCTCTACTAAAGCCTAATTTCCTGGAAATCTTGCTGGAATCTCATATAGTCATGATAAGGGTAAGTAATGGTTGAAAGATAATTAAGGGATTAAAAACCTGCTCCTTTTAAATGAAAATATTCTCACTCCAGGGTAATAGCGGCTTAAAACCTAAAGACAATGAAATGAACTCCAAACCTTGGCACTGGCCTATCAACTACCAGGTGCCAGCTCTTATTTCTACTTTTTTTTTCACAAATTTCAGTCTGCGTTTCTATCTGTGTCAAATGTTTTTCTTTTTGTCTGGTGAAGGGATTGCGGTTTTCAGGTGTTAATGAGACAGAAAATCGCATTTACCTGCTTGGAAACCCTGTAAGTACTATAAAAAACAAAACAAAAAAACCCTCTTTTTGCTCTTGGCGCTAACACGGAGGATTATTTTTCAGGTTGTCTGGTGGATAAACCTGGCCAGTTTAGGCTTGTATCTCATCATGGTGGCAGTGGCATCTGTAGCCATTCAAAGAGGAATCCCCCTGCAGCAGAAGAGAATGGGTAAACTGCAGCTTTGAGTCTTTGCAGAGATATGAGGATGAGTTGACCTTTAAATAGAAATGTTTACATGTTTCAGAGCATTCGGATGTGCTAAGGGGAGGAGGGGGACTTCTGTTTCTTGGCTGGCTGCTGCACTACATCCCATTCTACGTCATGGGCCGTGTCCTCTACTATCATCACTACTTTCCTGCGATGCTCTTCAGTACTATGCTAACAGGTGCTAAATTCTCAAGCATTTTAAGGCCTTTTACAATCTAAGTAAGAACAGGAGGAGAAGAGACTTAATGAAACTGACTGCACAAAAAAAGAGTAGCAAAAAAAGCTACTTAGGATGAGAAAGGGCTTTTATGCTTCTGGATTTCTCAGTGAGGACTTTTTGATGAAGTGCTTGTCAGAGGTTTACATGAATTTATAATAAAAAAAAAAATAATCCCATTGCTTTAAGACTTTTAGTGATTTATTAACCTTTTTTTTAATTTTGATTGGTGATATTATGATAAATCAGACTTCTGTAATCTTTGATTTATTGTGGATTTCTATAATACACACAGACTAAGAGATCATCAAAGCCCAAATATATACAAACACCCCCATTAACATGTTACCATACACTTCTAAAACAACCAAAGTAACTTTGTAGGCTGAACTTCAATTATTTATTGATTTTTTGATGTTGCGGGTCACGTGATACACTGTCCGCAACCTGACGTTTAACCTGTGCGTCAAATACCGACGCGAGGGATACCTTAACCAAGCGTCCATATGTGATGAGTTGGGAGTTCTTTGGTGTGTCTTCATCTGGATTTTCCATCTTTCAAAGAAATCATTGCATGTCTCAAATTAAAGACTTTCATGTCTATGATGAATATAAGTAAACTTTAGATCAGCACTAAGCCTGTTAAACTTATTTTTACTCATACCTTTTAAAAGGAACTCACACAAAGGGAAAGCTCATATTCCCATATTTTCAGAGATGGGAAGTAACGAAGTACAAATACTTCATTACTGTACTCAAGTAGATTTTTCTGATATTTTTTACTTTACTTTACTACTTATTTTTATGGCAACTTTTTACTTCTACTCCTTACATTTTTACACAAATGTCTGTACTTTCTACTCCTTTCATTTAAAAAAATTGGCTCGTTACTTTAGTTTTGAATCATTTCAATGGAGTTACCGTTATTATTTTTCACGTTATCAATACCAAATTCAATCTAATTGGATGGGAATCTACGTTGCATTTGACGCACCACTACAGATGAATCGACAGATTCGGCGGTATTCATTCACGGAAAATCACTGCAGCTTGGTGGCGGTGGCGTTAGCATAGTAGCATGGACGACGAGATGATTGAAAATGAACACAACGGAGATCTAGTCCTATTGGCAGACATCCATTTAAAATGTAGGCATCAGCATGAAAAAAGTGGTTTCTACTTTTACTTTTATACTTTAAGTAAATTTACAAGCCTGTACTTTGTTACTTTTACTTGAGTAAAGAAGTTTAATCAGTACTTCCACTTTTACCAGAGTATTTTTTAACACAAGTATCTGTACTTTTACTCAAGTACGGAAAGTGAGTACTTTTGCCATCTCTGCATATTTTATATAATCATCATAATTGCTTGTTGCAACTGTTTTACATTATCTAGATTGATAAGGCAAATATTTATTATAAACTAACTAAAGAGGCACTATTGGGTCAGATCTAACTATTCTAATAGGATTGACTTTGAAAAGGTTTTTATTGATCCTTCATGTTTGTAAAGCATTGTTAGGATTTAGGAAAGGAATATTTGTAAATGTTTAAGTGAAGGAAGCAATGAATGTTTTGATATGCCTGCCTGGATGGTTTTTATCTGTTTTTTTTTAAGTTTCTTTTTTAAATTTTGTCTTACAGGAGTTACATTAGATATTTTGCTGAGAAGTGCTGATCTACTGCTATGCCAGCCTTATTCTGATTGGCTGCAGAAAGGAGGGCAGATGGGACTTTTATTTACTGTTCTCTACAGGTGAGCTTGGTAAAAGAACATCTTCATTATATAGCATTGGTTAATCTTTCATGTGAAGTCTACTTTTAGGAGATTGTTTGTGTTTTTTTTTAAGTATTATACCATGTTCCATTTGATGCACCTTGAATGCCTAACCTTTTTAACAGTTAAACAAATTGTTAAAAGTTGATTTATTTAATCAGTTCTGAGTAATTCACCTATTGAAGCTACTTTCTTTATCAAACTAAAACAAATTTTTAGAAGATATCAGCTTTTTTTAGTGTTATATTGACTGTTTAGTCTGTGCTTTGTAACATCAATATGGATTCTTCTACACTTGACTCTCCGTAATTCTTCTGTTCTCAGTTTCCACCTGTTTCATCCGCTGTCCTATGGCATGACTGGTCCTCTTGCACACCAGCCAGGCAGCGCTATGGCTGGTCTTAAGTGGATGGACTCCTGGGAGTTTTAGTCATTTCTTTAAGATCTTGGAACTAATGTTGTACAGTGCAGTTCAAAAGTTTAGATAATTCATCATGGGCATGAACGTCATATAGATAGATTTGAATTGTTCTTTTTTTTTCTTGTTGGAAAAGCTCATAATACAATGAGTTGGACTCATCATTTTAAATTGTATATATACTTAAAGATATGCATTTAAACTCCACCATTATTTGGTAAAGCTCTTTCCAAATGGGAGAAACTATGGATAGGCTTCTGGCAAAAACCCAGCTGGATCTTTAACAGCTCTTTATAAAAGGTCATTTAAAGTAGTTTGTTATCCAGGTCATGTATTTTGTAGATCTTCAATAACAACGAAGGTTGGCGTCATTTGAAATGCTCCAGTTTTAAGAGTTATGCCTCAAATGCTGGATTTTAACCCAATAAAGCTAACCAGGTTACTAACTAAGCCAAGAATATTCAGCTAGACTTATACTAGGAGCTTTTGATGGCTTCAAGAAAGCTAACTTTAACCAAATACTTTATATATGTGCATCCACTGCTAAAAGAACAATTCAAATGGGTCAGAAAATGCCTATACTGATATGAAATTAATGCATATCATGAGTTTATTTAAACTTCTGAACTGAACTGTGAATTTGCTGCTTTTTTAAATGTTAAAACAAGTATTTTCTTACAGTTTGGACTAAAACCATACCTGTCCTAGTATTTGTGTCACATTATTTCCTCACCTGACTTATTCATCAACAAAAAGCCCCGACCCACACTACAGCTTCCATAAGGTGGTTTAAAACTTCATATGCATTAAATGTTTTTGTTTTGTTTCCCCATTTACCTGATCTTGGATTTGGCACATTGCTGGTTAGTGCTGTCAAACAGACTGTTTACCTTGTAGTGTAACAAATAAACAGGTGTATTCTCTTATCTGATTTTTTTTTTTTTTTTATGGTTGTATTATACGTCAAGACAAATAATGTTGAAATAAAACGTACAATGAATTTCTCAACAAAAGGTGTGATTAGATATACAAATGTTAAATATTTTATATCAGTATTTTAATAGTCATTTAAAATGGTTTGAAAAAAACTAAGCTGGCTCGCCTTTGCATCCTTACTTAATGTAATGTGGAGTTTATTCACTGTAAAGTTCCTCATAAAAACAGAATGAATATGAAATTTAAATGAATAATTCCTTGGCATCACAATGATAGAATGGAACAGAAAATCCCTTTATTGTCCCACAATAGGAAAATTGTATTTTTACAGCAAAAGTGTTCACACAAATGTGGACCTAGAAAGTGTATAAAAATAAGTGACAGAGTTTAAAAATAAAAGAAAATACTGTACTGTGTTTTTACAATTATAAATACTTTGCAGTCAGCAGAAGAATGAATTATAAATAATCAATATACAACTTTGGAGATTTTTTACAGCAGTGGATATGGGACAGTTTAAAAAATAAATCCTGTATCCAGATTCGGATCTGGATCATCAGCAGAATTTAAAGTATTATTCCTTAACATCAGGGACACCTGAAGAAAATAATTAAAATTTGTTTTCAAATTATCCTGCTCACAGACAAACACACACGAACTCCTAAAAACATAACCTCGTTTGCAGACGTAATTATTTAAGTGTACAGAAATAAGTACAATGCCTGGAAAAAGAATTCATACGTGTATTTAAATTGCAACTACAATATTTCTACTATGATGCTACTTTGATATGAGAGACAAACAGAAAGTGATGGATAATTGTAAAATGAAAGAAAGTACCTGTCTTATCTACCATGGACATTTTAGGACTTTAGTTCTCAGGAAAAAAGTTTACGTATTAGGAAAACTGTCCTAATACCTGAGGACTGACGTTTTTAATAAGAACTCAGGATGTCCTAAAATGTACACCGTCCTAATCAAAATCTTTACAATTAAAACTGACAGACTTTTGCACATTTGGAGACTGAAATAGTTGCCTTTTTATTGCAAAGCAGCTCAAATTTAATCAGACTCGATGAAAAATTAGATTGTTGTGCTGGAAGGTCAGCCTCTACATTAACTTGTTTACTGTTTTCTTATAGGTTTACTATTAGATCTGTTTTCCTCCTCATCTCTGACCAGCCTCTCTGTTCTCCCTGTAGAGCTTTTACTACAGTTTGATTCTGCTTACTGAGGAAAAACTATGTTTAATGTGACATATCAACCCTAGTCCTCATATTTTAAGTGATTTTTTTATGCAGCGATGCCTCTATGTTTATGTTTATACCTTTAGCAGAGGCTTTTATCCAAAGCGTCTTACAAAGCATTTTTACAGTTATCACAAAACATGACAGTAAGTTCTCTAGGAAAATCCCAAGTCAACCTAAATAACTGGGTGATTAAAAGGCTTCAGTAGCTCTGCAAAACATTTGAATGAGTCCTGAAGCAGAGACTCATCTAACCAACAGAGATTGTCCTCTATTTGGGGAAAAAATATTGACCCTCAACAAAGTTTTCAGAGATTTCTTATTTGAAAACCATGAATCATTTTTTTTATAAGGTACAATGGACCATATTGTATTAGGGGTGTCCAATTCCAAGCTTGTGAGCGACCCTGCAACTTTTAGATGCATCCTTTCTTTAGCACATCTCAGTCTAATTATTGGCTACTTACTATGCTTCTGCAGAGATTAATACAAGGGTGTAACTTTGTGATGAATGTTGGTAGGGACACTTTTAGGGTGTTGGCTTATGGACCTACAGTTAATCCACACAAACGCTTTCAATAGGGTTTGTATTTTCCAAAAATGAGCTCAAACATATATTTATTGAATTAATTGCTTTCCTATTTTCGAAAACACAAAAAAAACAAAATACGCTGACATTTATATTTATAGATGACATTAATGTATATAAAAAAGGAAGAATAACAGCCGATTCCGATGCAAACAGCAATATATATCATGCCTCCCTAGAACACAATTTCAGTTTCATTCATCCATCCAGAAAAATGTGAATTGATTGATGGATACTTTTCCTTTCAGCTGCATTAGTGATTTTCCTCATTCAAAAGCAGCAAAATAAAATGCAGAAATTTGTCCCATATATTGCAAAAATCTATGTATCGAAATTATTGGTTGGGACATGTCCACACCAGTCCTTCAGAAAGTTACGCCTGTGAATAAATAACATATTTATGAGGTCATTTGGCCATTTTCTTTAGGTATTTTGAAGCAGGAACATATCCAAAAGTTACTGCTCTAGATTTGAGCATCACTGGTATTTTGCATAAAGTGCAATTAAAAAAAGAAAAGGACATTATTTGGTTTTAAAATGACAAGATGTAAAAAAAAAAAAATAAAAAAAATAAATAAAAAAAAAATAAATAAAGTCTAATATTTATAGTCTTATAAAGCTTTTAGTTACATAATAAAGATCAACAAGTTTTGGGTAAACTGCGATTAAATAATGTGGGCTTTTTACATTATTTTAAAAAGAGGAATGAGTCAATGTACCTCCAGAGCTCTAGTGCGACCTCTTGTGGTGTATTTGCGAAGTAGTTTGAAACCAGAGCCGCTGATTGGCTGTGGTTCGTCACGTGGTTATTGTGAAGATGGCGTCTCCGAATGGAGGTAAATTCTAATTCCTTACACAGATACGCTCCGAATATATCTTAATTTTATCTTTTACTTTATCTTATGGGCTCACGAAAATGTTAACCAAGTTAAACGTGCTTCAGTTCGACGGTTACAGACGAAAACCCAGCAGTATTAATGAGGTATTCTTACTGTTTAGAGGTGTTCGGTTGTCCGAAGGCTTCACTGAAACCAGAAGCGTTAGTGTCCAGTTCTGAGGAAGCAAACAAACACAGCTGGTCTGTAGCTGCAGAAGAAAAAACATCTGTTACAACCATCTATCGATGCGTTTTATTTGTCAAACGTTAACGGCTTGTATTAATATTTAAGCGTCCTATGCAGTACACAATTGTAATTCAGTAAAACAAATAATACTTGCAGTCTGTTGTTTGATGTTTTTTTCCATACATCTATGAGTGGACAAGAAATTTAATCCTATAAATTTAGCTTTGAAAGCTACAATTCAGTTTATTTTGAAGCCTATTTACAATCAATGTCATCTCAAGCACTGCAATGAATCATCAGGTCTTCTTATTTACTTACTAGTTATACTTATACCAATATTTTCCATGCAGATTTAAAGCAATCTTATATTGTTGGTCATGATAGTAATACTAAACAGGCTAATAGGTGATAATATCAATTAAGGATCCCCCCTCAAGTCATTGCCTTTTAACTGGAAAAGATTTCCATCAGAAAAAGACTTGGTAAGTTTCCATCTACTAACACATAATTGGCGTCCAGATGGAAGCTGACAAAAAAGCTAAAAAAAAAACAAAAAAACAGCTGGCTTTAGATCAGTTTATTTTGGAAGGAAACTCTATGCTCATGCAAATTAATGGCAGCATTAATTCTGCAAGTGGTCCAACCTTTAGAAGAAAAACAGTTTAATTGAGAACTATTAAATCTACAGGATGATAAGCAGAGAGAGTGCAAGTTGCTGGAACCCATGTGTCTTTGTTCGCTCAATTCAGAAAGGAGACAACACAAAAGATAGACAATTATGATAATATAAAATTGTGACCTGCCCTCTCCACTTGCTCAAAAATGAGCATGCACAAGGCCATTTCTCCTCATGCACACTTTGTTTAAATTTGCTGTTCTCATAGCTCATACAAGCTTACTGTGTCTGAACATCTGCCTTAACCCCTAAATCCCTCAATCACTATATAGAGCGGGGACTATATAGTGAACTTTATAGTGAACTTAGTTAACTGACCGTTCAGACAGATGATCACTGCTTTTTGCTCCTTTAGTTACGTAACTCCACTGCATGGCGCCTACTCCATCTTTGTTATTAGTCACCTTTGTCGGATGGCGACAGCGGGCTGCTTTGACAGCAAATCCCATAATGCTTTGTGAGGAGAGCTCTTCGTGCAAAGCATTCTGGGATATATCTGCCTCTTCTAGACTTAGATTTATTTTGGTTTCAGAAGGGTAGTGTGAATGGGGCTTATGTTATTGGAACTGGTGACTCAAACCATAGACCATTTAAAGTAGAGCACTCAAAAACCAAAAGGTGCTATATATTGTATGGGGGAAAAAAAGACTAATGGTAACAATATTCTTAAATAATTTTTGAATTTGTTATAGTAAGAGAAAGTTGCAGAGTGAGGAAAAAATGCTCAGAATGTCCTCCAGCAGCCTAAGCCTACAGCAGCATAACTACAGAAATTGCTTAGGGCAGGACAGTAGCCTACATTAGATAAATCAATTTTATTTAATGGGATCAGAGTTAAGATCATGATAATGTTTCTTTAGCTGATGTAGACTTTTCATATTTATACTATAAGACACTTCTGATAGCAACATTTGATATTTCTGAGGATGTGTTAACCCTTTAAAGCCCGAATAAAACAAAACAGAAAATTACTTTTTTTTGGTTTGAAGTCCTTATTTGGCCTTTTAACAAAATATGTAAAAAGAAAAAACAGAAATACATTTTTGATATTAATAATTTATTACTACAGTATGCGATAAGTCAAGATTATTTTTTGTGTAGTCTTCTGCCCTCTGTTATCAGGTATATCTGATTGTGTACAATAGGATTTTGAGCAAAGTTTTTACCATTAAATTATGCAAAAGGTGTCAAAACATTTCAGAAACCGTATATATCAAATATGATACATTTGGCATTACAGGGTTAATAAGAGCAGTTTATTAAGACAGTTTTTATGAACTGTCTTGATAGTGTTTGGGGACCATTATCATCACAAGGGCTTTATTTAACTACATTTGTTTGACTTTTCAGAAGAACTACCTGGTTTACTTTTTATGGTTTGTAAATCCAAGTAAGCTTCAGCAACTAAGTTAGTTTGGAGTTTTTGAGGAGTAGTTCTGCCATCTTGTTGTCAGTAATAATTACCATACCTACAGAAGAAATATGTTAGATTATTGTTAGCTTGTTGGAAAACTAAATTTATTTGTGGCTGTTTAATAAAACAGAAAAATGTATCACAATATAAGTCTTTCACATCAGCCGGTATTGATTATTATTGATTGATCTGAAATGAGAAATAAGAAGCAGGGGAAAGAAGCCTACATGCAGGTGAAGCCTACCACCAGTTATGAAAAATCTGACAAAAACGCTGGCGTACGTTGGAAAAGTTATGGATAAGTTTTGTATAAGTTATTAGCATGCTGAAGTACGCTGAAACACGCTGGCACAACATATTTGACGTGTTCCTGATGGCCGCTTAACGTTTTTCTAACTTACAGCTACTGTATAATGGCGTATGGATTTGGGCAATTTGTGCTATAATGAAGCTTAAACTGTCTTTACAAAGTGAAATTAGTTAGTAGCACCTCATGCTGACTAGAAGAGTTTATTCCACCAGCAAGAGAGCTACATTGCTTTATTACCGACAAAAATAACAGGTTTTTATTCGAAATTATTAACAAAGAACACAGAAAATGTATTTTGCGTTTTGGAGGATTCATTTCCAACACAGATGGAAAATTTAAAATTTTTTAAAGTGCTTGAAACTGCTTTCCTTTACCAATATTGCAGCTTTGAGTATTTACCGATACTGAGTTAAACACGATATATAAGCAGGAATCATACGTAATTTTATAACTTAATTTTTAGTGCAAAACGTTGGAAAAGATTTGATCAAATCATTTTACTGGAACAGAGAACAACAGTAAACAATATTATATATGAGAATGACTGATCCATGTTTAATTAACCAATAGATTAAAAAAACTGAAAACCAAGCAAATACAAGTGAAGCCTTTCCATCAGCCTCCTTGCATTGTATTCTGATGTTTGTAGGTTTTTATTTTGGTAGATATCAGACAAATTTTCAATATCAGTATCGGATTGGGACGTCCTTGCTTCTCTATGTTCCTTTTAGTAATTGTAGTTCCTGGCAACAATACATCAAACTTTTTCCTCACTTTATCACGTTAAAATACTTTTAATCAGCCATTTTTTCTCTTCTTAACTTGAGATTAGATTTTTAAGCTATATCACCCAGCCCTGGGTGTTATTTTAAAGTTTTAATCAAGTCTGTATCCAATTTCAGGTTTTTAGAACAAGATAAATATCCAACTTGTATTTGAAGACAGTAAAACTATTTTGTTGAATGACAAAATTGTCCAATTTTAGAGACGTGAGCACACTTAATAAAAAAAATTGTATTTCTATTTTCTCAGGAGATGATTTCGAATCATCTTTGCTGAGTTTTGAGAACTTGGACAGAGCATCGCCAGACTTGTGGCCAGAGCAGTGTACGTTCTTCTTCTGTTTTTCCTTTATTTCTCAGAAGTATTGCATCCCTCTTAACCGTCTCATATCTTTTAAAACAGTGCCTGGAGTCGCAGAATTTGCAGCATCTTATAAAAATGTAGGTTACTTTGCAGCTTTTAAAGTAGATTTAAATGTAACATTGTGTAAAACATGCTGGAGCCTGTAATGTTTACTGTTCCGTTTCATCTTTTTATTACAGCCAATCACAAACTCGCCCCCAAAGTGGATGGCAGAACTGGAGAGTGAGGACATTGAAATGTTGAAAGGTAACATAAATCTCTAAAACCATCAAACAGGATCTGATTTAGTTGATTTTCACTATGAGCTTTTATTTGGTGCCCTGCCATCCGTCTGCAGAGCTGGGCAGTCTGACCACAGCCAACCTGATGGAGAAGGTCAAAGGACTTCAAAATCTTGCTTACCAGCTGGGTTTAGAGGAGTGTAAGTACAAGAAGAAGTCCAAAACATAAGAAAATATGTTTTTAATTTTACCTTTAAAAATGTATTCAGTTTTTAGGGTGTAGCTGCTTTATATGTAGTTGATGTAAATAGTTGAAATGGTTTTGACTGACTCTCTCTTGTGCAATATCACCACTAGATGGAGCTAAAACTTTTTGCACTCAGCATTGACGTCGTTCATATTCCTCTACCTTTTTTTTTTTTTTTTTTTACATTTAAAGCAGGTTCAGCTCACCCAATACATACTTATGTCAATTTAGAACAGTTATTGTTCCAACTGTAACCTGGCAAATTAGAATCTGCGTTTGTGTCAAAAGACTGAAACAATTGGACCACAAGGCTTTAAAAGAGTGGATATAAGTCAGTGTTCCTAAAAGCAAAAAAGTAAAGAGTCAAAAAGGACTGAAGGAGGAAAAGATGTCCAAGAATTTGATAAATACAAAATCTATTTATTTAATCCAATCCCTCCCACCTCTATTGCCCTAATCCTTATGGAGTGTGGATTAGAGAGATGTGGGTAAGTGCTCATCTGATGATCCTAAGAGGGAAAATCGGTATAAATTTTGGCTGTAAAAAAAGCACTTGGTGATAATTGTATTGCTTTGCCCTTTACTTTGATGAAATGTAGCCTGAGAGATAATAACACCTCTGATATGTTTTCACATTCTGTTACCTTATAACTACAAACTTAAGGAATTTCATTTGGAATTTAAGTAATAGTGCAAAGAAGCGGAAAGAATACATGATTTTACAAATAAAAATCTGAAATTCCTGGGTGCTTTTTTCAGGGGTGAAATAATAAAATGAAGGCATAGTAATGCTGTGAAAATACCTTGCTTTAAATGCTTTAAATTGATTCTCTTAAGACCAAATAATCCCCCCCCAAAAAGATGGCAAACTGCATGCCCTTCTCTATGAAACATGGTGGTGTAAGCACCATGGTTTGTTTTTTAAACTGGGACAAGAAAACTGGTCAGAAAAAAATCTAAATGGTTTCCAGTCCTGGAATAAAATCTGTTTGAGGCTGCAAAATATTTCAGACTGGGCCGAAGATTCAACTTCCTGTTAGACGATTGCAGTGAGAAAAACATGCATCCAGATCTACATTGCAACGGTTTAGATTATATCACATTGTTTTAGAAAGGCCTAGCTAAGGTCCTGAGCTTAATTCCATTAAGAAAAGACGTGAAATTCTCTGTTCTAAATGCATCCTAACCAGTCTGTCTTATTAGGTAAAGCTATTTGAAAGAAGAATGGCCATACATATTTACTTGAGCTAAGTTGGGTGCAACTTTTACCAAGAGACAGAAGGAATTGTTGTGGTTTTACAAAATATTAATTTAAATAGTTTAAATAACAACACTTTTCTGATATTTTCGGGGGATGGGGGTTATAAAATACTTGCGCTTCCTTTTATTTTCACAATATTCATTAGTCTGGTTAACTTATCAAAAATACATTGAATCATGTTAAAGTTTGTTGTTCTGATGTAACAAAATGTTTAAACGATCCAGAGAAATCTAATGCAGATACATAGAGATGTTTCACCTCCATGTCAGGTGACTTGTTGCAGTGAGAGTGATCATCCATGAGCAGTGATTAAAGTTTAAAGAAAACTATAAATAAAGGCTTCAGACCTTTGTTAAATTTAAGTACTTATGATACTAATCAGTTCTAAGGTGTCATTTAAAGGTGTTAAAACTGCATTGGAAGGAAATGTGTATTTGACTGCAATCTCAAATGCTTTAAATTTAAAAGGTCTGGAGCAATAGTATAGGATGGGGTAACTCTATCATTTATGTTGCATATGTCATAGCTGCACAGACCCTATTTTGTAAATTCATTTAGTTGAAAAATTATTTAATCTCTTTGACTTCCCTCAACCAGAAGCTGCTTGTAATCTTTCTGTTATAAAGATGTTAGCTGTCATGGGCGCAGGACTGCAGGCGCTGCAATCATGTCATGTACCTCAGGACGATGGGACACAATGACGGTTATTATTGGTGTCAGAGCAGCCCTGTAATCGGTGCCTGTTTAATGCTCTCTGGTTTAATTTTCTCCTTTTCCTGCCTGTCAGGGGAGGCCCTGTAAATCTCAGCTACTTTTTCATCATGTTTGTGCACTCTTCACTGCCCGTAAACACGCTGTGCCGAGGCATGGCAGAGGGAGGGTAGAGGACAGGATTTACTGCCCGTCCTAACCCCACCTCCCACCCCTACATGTGGATCATTAAAGAAGAGGCTGGTTAATGGGCAGAGCGCAATAATGCAGGCCAAACTCATCTACCCTGCTGCAGAGATGAAATTACACTGTTCTATTGCAGTTTTTTGCGTCCATTTTGCTGTCAGTTGTATGTGTTGGGGTGAGGTAGCACATTGCCTTATTTCGTCAGCACTCAAAATGTGGTGGACTGACGCTGCCCCGGTTTGTCCCTGAGGGGCCTGGCGCGTGCCTCGTATTTAGGCCCCAGCTGCTACTCCACCCCATGATGAATGCCCCAGCCGTGGGCTGCTGAGCGTGGGCATCAAGCCCCGTGTCTCAGGGGAAAGCGTAGCTGCCTGATAAGTACTGCTACTGGAGGTAATTGAAAGCTGAGTGTTCCCCTGGGAAGTGCTGAAGGGCCTGAGCCACTGAGCCGACTGGTTAGGTGGCTGCTGAGTTACTGGGTTTTGGCATTTGCTCTCTTGTCAGCTCAAGGCCACTGACTAACATTCAACACTTGTTTCAGTCGGATGTGCTACGATTTTATTCCAAAAAAAGGTGGATTTTTATTTTTTTTCCATAATCTAACTGCAGTAAATTCAATATTATTCACGTTAAATGGTTTTGTATACCTTCATGGAATTCATAACGTTTACTTTATTCCAAATATGAATGATTTTGCAAAAGAAAGTTTTGTATCTAATGCTAATATAAAAAAAAAACATAGTGACCTTGTTTATTGCGACTTAAGAAGCGGATAAGGGGGCTGCAAATGTACGTCATGAAACGATGGGAGACAAAGATTTTCTGCTTTTCTTTGGACTAAATGAAAAAGGATCTAATACGAAATCTCTGAGCCACTCATAAAAATGGGAGAGGCAGGAGAACTTGCTGCTCATGGATGCGATATGGTTTATTGGTATATCTAACAACAATACTTCTACATATTAAGTTGTTCTCCACACAGTACATTTATGCATTGCAAAAACAAACCTCAGTGTATTTTGTTGCTGCATTATTTGATAGACCAATATAAAGTAAAAAGTAAATATACAGAGGTAGGAAATAGAAAGCTAATTTTATCAAATAGAAATATTTACACCCATCACAGAAATTTGTTCAAGAATCTTCCCTCATACTGGAGCGAGTTACATGACATACGGTACATGGAATTCTTGATTGAACGTCTTGAAACTGTATTATTACCCTTCGATCTTTTTCTAATATTGTCCCGCTGCAAACTGCCATGTGTTTTGAATTTTATTTAAATTAAAAGGATAAATGTTTTCCAAAACTAATTGCATGTGAGATTTGAAAGATGTGGTGTTTATATTTTATTTATTTAATTGCTAAGTCAGTGCGTTTAAGCTACAAGTGAGTATGTCTGTATCAGCTTTGTAAATCTATTGACCCTATCTCCGCCCTTTTGACTTTGCAACAGAATTTGAGTTGGAATATCATCTTGAATTTGATTAGGTGATCTAAGATAAGCTTTAATTTAAACCATTCCATTATTGTTCTAGCTAGGGCTGAAAAAATTAATCAGATTAATCATGTAACTAATTTAGTAATCGATTAATCGTTAACTGGATTATAGAGACTGTAAACATACACGCCTTTAGCTGAAAGAGCAACCCACTTGGAGCAGTAATTATATCAAAATATAAAGGAATACATAAAGAGTTTGCATTTGAGATTGAAAAAAAAAAAAGTTTTGTCCATCAATATGCTCTATCCAGAACTCAAGTGGAAATGTTTAAGTTTCGTCTAGTTTAGTTTCATAAAAAGTCTTCTTTAATTAACCTTTTGCTATCGGATTATTAATCAATCCATCAAAAGAAATAATAGGCCGATTAATCGATTTGCAAAATTATTGTTATTGCAGCCCTAGTTCTGGCTGAGTGTTTGTTGTTGTCATTCTCCTAGAAGATGAACCTCCTCCTCAGTTAGATGTTTCCTTCTTCTCATCAGATTTAACCATCATTCCTGTTCCTGATGTTGAAAATCCTGAGCAACATGCTACTATATCTGTATATGTGTACAGATGTATGTATTTAAGTGTGTAATACAACCAAAGTTGTAAATGTTAATTTTCCAATTGTGAAAAGTTTATGTATGAAATGAGTCACTGCATCCAGTGACCACCTGTTGGCTTTTTTCAGCCCCCAGCTTGCCTCTCCTGTGCTCTGCTCTGACACCACCCAGCATGCATCCGGTGACCCCTGTTGCCTCTTTCAGTGTGAAGGAGAGACTGAAGGGCACCCTGCCATGACAGCTCCTAATGGGCCCGCGTTCTCTATCACCTCCTCCTCACCCTCAGGATCAATCTCCAACCTATTAGAAAGCAGGACGCTGCTGAATATGATTGCATTCACGGGCTCCATTCGTGCTAATGTGCCTCCATCAATCCATCAGGGTGGGCTGACTGCAGGCCGGCCGGTTATGAAGTGCCTTAGCTGACAGCCGCTGAATGAGAAACAGGGTGTTGCTTGCCTGCCAACTCTGCCACCGCTCCTGTCCCCGCTCATCTCTACTTTTCCACCCTTCGTCTCCTTGGGTTCAAATTTGCTCTGAACGAGTTGTACTATTGTAACTGTGGTTTCTATTTGTTGTCTCGATCACATTGGATAATCTTAAGCGGCTCCACAGACTTTTTGCTGCTTCCTGCAGTGGATATGTGCAGCTCGACTGGAAGAGTTAGAGTATAACACACACACTTCTCCCCAGTGCCGCCTGCCTGCCGCTTCCCTGAGCAGATCGGAAATGACATCTCATTTCCATAAAGGCATTAGGAATTCATTGGATTTTCTTTCCCAGCTAATCA